TGGGAAGCCAAGGTGAAGCAAATATTCTATCTTCAGGATCTTGTGAAAATGAGGGTGCCTCCAGGTAGTCCTAAAATGTGTGGTATTGTCTGGTAATTATTTTGGTTTTTACTTGGTTTTCTTTTTATTGTTGTTGTTATTGTGGTTTTGGGGGGGTCTAAAAACTCCTTTATTTAGGTGGTGATATTTTATATGTTCTGTTTTCAAATGCCAGGATTCATTCCCCCCGCCTCTGATTTCTGTCCCAGGCCCTACAAACAACTAATCCCTTCTAAATAGAACAAAAATAAGCCCAAGAGTGTAAAAGCAATGGTGACTGACTTATATCTGCTGCCTACAAGTATTCAGATAGGCACTAAAATTTATACTTTGTGTTAAAATTCATCTTATGCAAGTATGACCCCTTTCATTGCTTGACTCTTCTCATGCTTCATAGGGAGAAAAGATGTTTTAAAAGTACCTGGTGTATTGGTCAACAGGCTGAGCTGTTGTTGTGTTTTGTTTTTAAAGATTTTGTTTATTTATTTGACAGAGAGAGACGCAGTGAGAGCAGGAACACAAGCAGTGGGAGTGGGAGAGGGAGAAGCAGGCTTCCCGTGGAGCAGGGAGCCTGATGCGGGGCTCGATCCCAGGACCCTGGGATCATGACCTGAGCTGAAGGCAGATGTTTAACGACTGAGCCACCCAGGTGCCCCTTGTTTTGTTTTTTTAAGTAGGCTCAAACTCATGACGGTGAGATCAAGACCCGAGCCGAGATCGAGAGAGTCTGACACTTAACCGGCTGAGCCACCCAGGTCCCTGAACTGTTGTTTCTTGAACTGGGATATTCCAAGATTCTAAGAAAAAGTCAAAACTTGATTGACCAGGATGTTCGGGGATAGGATGGGATCCGGGTGAACTGATTTGAAGCAGACAGTCAATCCATTTGTCTTACCCCTTGCTGAAATCTTTCTAAAATTATATGTTAACCCGTATAACTGTCTTAGTAATGTTAAGGTTAATTTCCAGAAAAAGGTAAAATCATGAGTCTCATACAGATATAAAAATGAACATGCATTAAAGATTTTATTTTACTCGTTAATCAACAAGGGAACCAGACAGATATTAGAGCAGGTTCAAAGAAAAAGTCCAAAAGCACAAATTTATATGGAGTAAAGGAATTGAATTGCAAATGGAGGCAAAACTGGTTTTTTCCACAGTGGGGAGGGAAGTCAGTCCAAACTCTATGGGACAAGACAGAGTTTGCATATCCATCAGTTATCTGCAATTTACAGAGGTGCAAACCAGCTCAGAGACAATGAGCTATGCTGGAATGGGGCAGCTGCGAAGGGTGTGCTGTGAGCAGTGCGTGGTGCTTTCAGTGAAGTACAGCTTTCTTTTCTACAGTAACTAAGCCTGGTGGACACTTTTGGGGGGGGTTGATTTTGCTTCTTGTAATCTCTCAGGGTCATCACCTCAATTTCTCATCCAGGATTCAGTTCCATATAACACTCATTTACTGAGTACTTACTATCTCTAAGACATTACAGAGGAGGGACGCCTGGGTGGCTCAGTCGGTTAAGCGTCTGCCTTCGGCTCAGGTCATGATCCCGGGGTCCTGGGATCGAGTCCCGCATCGGGCTCCCTGCTCCGCGGGGAGCCTGCTTCTCCCTCTGCCTCTGTCTCTCTCTCTGTCTCTCATGAATAAATAAATAAAATCTTTAAAAAAAAAAAAAAAGACATTACAGAGGAACCAGACACCAAAAAGACGGTATTTCTCACCTTAAGTAGCTTGATTGGTGGGGGAGACAGACATGTCACACCCCCAGCTAACCACACTGTGGAGAAGAGTAAGAATCTGTGCTGTGGGAGAGGTAGGGATGAAACATTTGAGGAGAACCAGAGAGGGAAGAGTTAACCGATCAGGGGCTGGGGAGATGACATGATGACATTTAAGCCAGGCTTTGAGGGGTGACAGAGAGAGGAGGAGGGGCACAGGAGAGGCCATTTCAGGGTGAGGAAACAGCGAAGTCCTGAAACTGGATGATCTGTTCAGGGAAGGGTCAGGAGCTGGGATGGCAGAGGCCACAAGGAAATAGCAGGATGTGGCCAAAGAGGAGGCCAGAGGAGGTTTGAGGCCAGGTCAAGGAGGGCCCGGAATGCTGTGCTAAGAAATTTGGGCTTGATTCTGAAGACAGGAAAGCTACTGAAAGCTTTTGGTGGCAGGGGGCGACATGGTCGAATTGGTGCTTTAGAAGATGAATATATTGTAAAATCAAGAAATTGGAGGCAGAGGGACCAGTTAAGAGGCTATTGTAATATTCTGGATGAGAGATGATGAGGGCCTGCATCAGGGTGGTGGCAAGAGGGGCAGAAGGAGAGGATGGAGATGGCATGATTAAGGCTTGACTCCTGATTGGCTGTGGGCGGCGATGTTGTGGGGGTGGAAAGAAGGAGTTGAAGATGACACCACTGAAATTTCCAGGCGGGGGGATAGTGGTGCCATTAACTAAGATAGGAAACACGCTGGGCGTGGGGGGTGGGGAGCGGGTTTATGGGAACAGATAATGAGTTCGGTTTGAGACACATTGAGTTTGAGGGGCTCGGTGGACATCCAATTAACAGCGAGTTGCTGGCAGCTGGAAATTCTGGTCTGGGTCTGAGGAGAGAGGTCGGGTCTAGAGATACAGATTTGGGAGTCTTTGGTGCGGGAAGGGGAGAGTTGTAACTGGGGGAGCTCTGGAGCTGGAGAGAAGGAAGAGCGGGGTTCACACAACCCCCCTTCCCCCCCCCCGCCACACACACACCGAGAGAGGTGGGGTAGGGGAGAGCCAACGAGAGCCAGACTGAGCTAGGGAGCCAGAGACAGAAGGAGGGCAAGAGAGACAGAGGGAGACAGAAAGACAAGAGAGGGGGACTGACGGCTGAGGCGAGGACAAAGAGTAGAGGGGAGGGGGACACAGAGGAAGGAAGAAGGGAAAGAGGAGGAAGAGAAGGAAGAGATAAAGGGAGCCAGAGGGAAACCAAGGATGAGGAAAGAAAGGGGGGAAAGGACCCGGGCAGGAAAGGTGGGAGGGGGAGGAAGGTGGAGGAGCACAGACTGCGCCAAGAGAGATGGGAGAGAGGGAGAAGAGAAGCAAGGAAGAGGGGAAGAGAGAGACAGCTGGGAGAATAATAGGGGGAAGAGGGAGGTGAGGAGGAGTAGTAGAGGGGAATAGGAGAAAGAGAAATTGAGAGGGAAGGGGAAAGGGAAAGAGAGAGATGGGGGTAGGGAGGAAAAGAGGCAAGGGGAAGAGACGGGGGCTGGCAGAGGTGAGGAGAGACCAGGCAAGACCAGGGCTAGGGTTCCGGGGTGGGTGGAGAGAGAGCCTTGGAGAAGCAAGCAGGCACTGGGTCAGGAAAGCCAAGAGAGGGGCAAGTACAAAGAAAGGCAAGGGCAGCAGTAACCTGTGCTTCGGAGAGAGGGAGGAGGGTGAGGACCAGGATGAGGCTGGGGGGCTGCGGGGCTGTGGCTCTGCTGTCCTGGTGCTGCCTCCCTCCCTTGCTTGGGGACTTTGCACCAGCCACCTGACCTCCTGGCTCTTTCTGGATCTTAGCTTGCAGCCTCCTGCCCTAGGACCTTTGCATAGATTGTTCCTTCTGCCGGGAATGCTCTTCCCCCCCGATGATACACACATGGCTCACCCCTTCGCTTCCTTCAGGATGTTTAAATGTCTCCTTCCCAGCAAGGCCTATGCTGGTTACCCCTTTTCAAAACTGTAGCCCATTCTGCGTGCCTCCCCCCACCGACCATCGCCATGCCCCTTAGCCTGTGTTATACCACCTTCTAACCTTCTATAACAGGAGTCATTTAATGAGTGTATTGTCCATCTAATCCCACGAGAATATAAGTTCCATGAAGGCTGGGATTTGGGGTCTTTTTTGGTAGTCGTTGAATCCCCAGTACCTGGGACCGTGCTGGCACATAGCGGGAGCTCAATAAATATTTGTTGGATGAGCAAGTGCTCTTGTGTTGAATATGGACAATCTCTGAAGGTTATATAAAGAATAAGCGAAACAAACCCCTGATGTGACTATATTGTACTGATTGACTTCTTGGGAAAGTGGAGAACAGCAGAAAATTCTGATCACTGAGGGTTCTGTTCAGCTGAGCTCCGATGAAGAAGACTTTTAGCTAACTCGGGACTTTAAGGGTCTCAAGACAAGCTCATTGGGTAAACTGCTTTTTCTTGATGCCTCATTTTCTCTACAATTGGCTGTGCAGTGGTTGTCAACAGCGACAGCTGGACATTAGCTGCTGAAGGGGGTGGTAGGTCATGGGGATGACAAGTCTGATAGAAAGGGACAAGGACAGAAATGTGTGGTTTGTGATGGAACATTGTTTTTTGTTTGTTTGCTTGTTTGTGGTCAGAGTACAAAGAGTATTGCATCTGATTTTGAGGGAGCTTTAAACCAGCTTAAGTATGTGTGTTATATCTATATAACTCCCCAGTCGAAATCAGAATAGAATATTTTTGAAGGGCTTTTAAAGAAAGCATGTGCTTCCTCTGGAGAACTTAAATTGGTACGTCACTCAAATACTTCAGTACGCATGGATTAGAGAGTTGACGAGAAAAAGATCCCCAGTAGTCTTTCAACGCATTGTTCATATATGGGAACAACCCTCTAATTGTAGTTGGTTAGGCTAAATGTGTGTGGAAAAATATATTGTCATCTCGTTTGTCTGGAATAGATTGAATTTCCTCGAACACTCAAGCATATCTGTCTTTAAGATGATTTAAAAATCACTCTAGGTGATTAACAGCATCCTCGTCTCCATCCTGAAACCTATGGATTCCTGGAAAGCTGGTGCCCTCATCCCCGTTTGGGCCTTAATTTTCCATAGCAGGCTGGCTTGTGGGAGAGACCGCTTTACCATTTTGGTACTGTAATCGCCTTTATTTAAATGTTTCCCTGTTAAAGGTGGCTCAAGCAGCTGTCCCTGTTAGGAGTTTTGATTTTTTGGCCTTCTTTTTCCTCAGGGGGAGCGCGGCCACAGCAGGTCCTATCTGGTGGTGAGCGGCTGTCATGATCTCGACAGCCCCGCTCTACAGCGGCGTGCACAACTGGACCAGTTCTGACCGGATTCGCATGTGTGGCATCAACGAGGAGAGGTGAGGAGGCTGGGAACGTGGCCATTGCTGGCTCCCAGTGAGCGGTCCTTACTCACCAGAGGGGCAGCTGCGGCAGGGCCCTGGGAGGGACCCCAGGGGAAGAGGCTTCGGTTGTTTCTAATTTTCCTGGGATGGGATGGAGCTGGGGCCGTATGAGTGGCCTGCCCTGCCATGCTGTCCCTGTTCAGATGAAGGTGAGGAGGCCAGCAGATGACCTTTTGCCAACTAACATTTGTCTGCTCATTAAGAACTGTCAGACTGGAGTAAGGGGAAGCTCAGGCGACTGCAATTTTTATTTGCTGCATCCATGTTCGGTGCTCAAGGATACGCACAAGATATTTTTGGTCCTTGATCTAAGCCTGGAAGAAAGGCAGTTTTATTATTCAGCTGTATACTGGGAACTGTTAGTGGGTATTCTGGTGATCAGCGCTTTCCTGCCTCACGAGGCTAATGACGATTCGCAGTGCGATCCTTCTGAAGTATCTCAGGAAGAGCCAACTGCTTAATGTAGTTGTCATACGGAACTGAGAGTTGGTGATGCCTGCCTAATCCGTGTGTGTTTTAAATGTTCTGTTCACCAAAATATTTGGTTGACCAAGCTCTGCCATTTACTGATCATGCCCCATAGGAAGGACACCCAAAATGGCCTTCAGATTTTATATTTTTGACTCTCGTGACCTTTGCCCAAAGAAAGAGCTATGTGTGATGGTCGCAGTGCCTCTCTCGTTTTTAGAAAAGGCATGCTTGCTGGTGTTCAGCTGTTGTTTCAGTCCATCGACTGTTTAAATTCCAATGCATCAGATCAGTCCCCTAGAACATGGACCGTTACGGCTTTTCCCGGGATTAAAATCCGGTGTTTTCCTTGGGTGAATCTTGGAAGTGTGTGCGTAGCTGTGTGTGCATGTGGGAGAATGTGTGTCTTCGTGGGTATCTTCTTTTTTCTTCTACTCTTAACAGGAGAAGTGTGTACTTGTCTGAGGTTCAGGTTAGGAGAAGAGACCTTTTTTTTTAAAGCCATTAGTGCCTAATAGTTTAATGTTCTCTATACTGAGGAACAAGTTAGAGACGGACTTAAAAGGAATTTGATTTTAGAATATAAAAGTCAGGACTAAGGAAAATAAGACAGAATTCCTCTCAGATTTGCATAAGAAAGATATTTTCCTTTGCATGTGAGGTATGGCCTTAGGTAATGACCAGGAGGGGGACTGGGGAAAGGGAGGGTGGTAGTATTGATTTGCGTAAGCATTCACCCGCAACTTGGCAACTCGTTATAGGCAGTTGAGCCTTGGGTGCAGAGATCTGGACTAGAGCCTTTAACAAATCGGTGCACAAGCTGCCTTGGTTCATTGTCCATTCTAAATCCCTGCTGAGAAAGAAACAGGAAGGGAGCCCCAAACCTGCCTTTCCCTCTTTATGGACCTTTCTTGGGATGTTAAATTACCAAATATGCCTAGTGGTTAAGATGACCTTTTAAGCATTGTCACTTTTGATCTCATCTACCCTTTATTGTTGCCTTCCTCTACAGTCTAGGCCATGCTAGAGCTGCTTTCTGAAATGTGATCTCACCTTATTTAAAAACCCATCTTCCTCAGCCCTTTACAACTTGTAGAACTTAGACATTTCGGGTGTAAAGCTGCACATGGGGTTAACTCTTAAAACTGTTTGAGAAGGGCGCCTGGGTGGCTCAGTTGGTTGAGCGACTGCCTTCGGCTCAGGTCATGATCCTGGAGTCCCTGGATCGAGTCCTGCATCGGGCTCCCTGCTCGGCGAGGAGCCTGCTTCTCCCTCTAACCCTCCCCCCTCTCATGTACTTTCTCGCTCTCTCAAATAAATAAATAAATCTTTAAAAAAAAAACAAACTGTTTGAGAAACCTGCCCGGCGTCATTAGATGCAGTTGAGGACCGATGCTGTTGCAGGGACAGGGACAGGGGCTTTCTGCAGGCCCCACGTGGCTGACTGTAGTCACACCTCTGGTTAACTTTCTCTGTTTTCTCGCTTGCTTGCTTCCTTTCTTGTATCCATTCATTCCTTCATTCACCCACCATTTACTAAATCCAGCAGGAGCAAACCAACAGTCACGGGATGCTGATGGTGAGTGCTATAGAGTGGCACGCACAGGCCCTGTGGGAGTCTAGATGCAAGAACGGTAGACTTCCTGGGGGAATAAGGGAAGGCTTTCCAGAGGCAGTGACATCTGACCTGGTGGCTTGAGGGATGAGTAGGAGTTTGAGGTGAGGGTTGGTATGTCCCACACGGTATGTTTGGGGAAGACCCTGGCTGGAATGAAGGTGGTCTTGGGGTGCAGTAGGACTCAGGCAGGGAAAGTCTGCAGGGGCTGGAATTTAAGGAGCCCGGTGTGTGTGGTGTGGTCAGGGCCCAGTGGGCACTAAAAAAGCTCTGGTTTGACAGTGGTGCTAGCCCTTCATAATTAGGAAAACAGCCCTGAAAGGTTATCGCCATTTCTGGTTTAAGTTCAACAAAGCCTGAAGCGCAACAGCCCAGGGTCATCTCTGCTGGGAAGAAGTGGTGGGATTGATTTTCAGTCCTGATTGAAGCCTGCTTTGACCCCTGCTCCCTCCTCCCTGCCGCCTGCACCCTCCTAACCTTGCCTGGTTGACCCACTTCTCTTTGTGCACCCCTCCCCTGCAAGCTATTCCTGTCCCAGGCTCCTCTCTCCATGGAGCGATTTAATGTTTGCTTAGCTTTGCACACCCCTCTCCTCAGAGACTTTGAAACGTGGCCACACGACGTTTTCCCAGAGCCTCGGGGGCTGGCACTCGGGCCCGGGCATGGCTGGGGTAGCCGGGACTGTTGCGTCCACTGCCGCTGCCACCCCCAGAGTCCCTGGGCCGCGGGCTCTGTGGGTCTGCCTTGGAGGCAGGTGGCAGGCTTTCTGCGTTCAGTTCAAGGTGATTTTATGTGGGGTGGGACCCCAGTAAGGGCAGCTAGCTCCCCTCCATGTGGTCAGGAGAGGAAAGAACGGAAATAGCTAACATCTTTCCCCTGCAGCCCCTCAGGTGGGGTTGGCGAAGGGGAGGGCAGTGCCCCTCGTTCCCCTTGCTACTGCCCTCCTCCCAAAGCCCTCGCTGGCCAGTCTCATTGGAACATGCTTCTCCCCGGCGCAAGGCTGGGTGTAGGGCTGGCTTTTCTGGTCTCCCAGGAGCCGATGTCCAAGTATGTTTTCCCTTTCCCTCAGGGCCCCCCTTCCTCCCCTTCCTCGAGACCCCTGACTGCCTCTCCAGCCCTTGCCTGTCCTTACAGTCATCTCTGTTTGTCACCAGCAGTCATTGCCAGCGGTGGAACCCTCCCACTTCTGCCAGCCTAGCTGCCTTTTAAAGGGAACAGATCTCCACCCCCCTTCCCCAGTTAGTCCCTCCTGGAGCCCTGAAACGGGAGGGAGAGGCCTGCGGTGATCTCCCTTGTCTTTTTTGCTTCTTTTGGCCCAGGTACAATTTTGGTGTCCATCAGTAGTGCCCTGTTCCAGTGAGAGGGAGGGAGTTAGCAGGACCCCTCCCCATTTTTATGGGGGTGGGCTGCAGGCTCCCAGACTGTCCTAGACTAGGGTGGCTGGTGAGGCAGGTGCTAGCTTCTTCCCGGGCTGCTGTAGAGCTGAGGGCGAAGAAGAGGAGCAGACTCCAAGGCGGTCCACTTCCCCAGAGGTGCACAGAGCATTCCTGTGCTTCTCCCCCTCGGAGCTGCGCCACAGGGCTTCTGCTGGAGCTTTATTCTTCTACCCAGACCTTCCACTCAGCCACTTACCTGGGCTCTTGCCCCAGTAGTATCCTCCCTTGGGCAGACAGTGGTGGGTTTTTGCTGTACCCAAAAAACGGAACTTCTAGTGGGTGTTTGTCCTCTCCTCAGCTTCACCCTCCTAGTCTTTTTTCCCCCCTAAGGTTCTTCCTGAAAACCTGGAGAAGACTTTTGGAGTAGGTTGCGGTTCAGTTAGGTTTTCCTCCTTTGCGACCCAGCTCTCTGGCCTTGAGCCCTTCCCTTTGCAATATACCAACTTGAATTTGGGGTCAGTGGCCTTGAAGGCCTCCCTTTGGGATGGGAGTGAACGTCGTGGTGCTGGGAGAACAAGGGGAGCGTGGGGGGCTGGTGGGGCATGGGATGCAGGCAGGAGGGCAGGTGCTGGCTGGAGCTCGGTGGTACTTTAAAATAGGGGAAGAGGTACCCTGGAGGGAAAGAAGTCGTGCCCTTGAAATGCCCCTCAGCACCCAGTGACCCGGTGGCCTCGAATCAGTATCCTTACATGCGCTAATAAATGTGTATCCGCTCTAGGCAACCCCATCAGGTGAATAGGTGATGATTCAGATTTAGAACATGACACACAATGGAGGTGGCTATTTGTTTTAGAAAAGGATTACCCTTATGATATCTGCAGCCAGCTTCCCTTATAGACTTAAAATAAGATTGCACTTAAGAGAAAACCTGGTTTCCATGCCTTTTGAGATCTTCTGCCTTTTGGCAATGCCCAGTACCTCCTGGATGGTCACCTTGACAGGTAAGCTCGGGACAAAGCAAAGGTGCTGGGCCATCCTCCACGTTCCTGGTGAGAGCCCCAGAGAACAGGATACACAGCCCAAGGAGGGGAGTCTAGTCAGACTGGGCTCCTTTGCAGGAATTTGCAAAGCTGGGCTTGGAGGCTCCGGCTTGTGACCTGTCCCCCCAACAATTCCTTGTGATTTCCTCCAAGCCACCAAGGGAAGTGGTTTTATGGGAACCAGGGCAGGCAGGAGGCATTCTGCCGAAGGTAGTGGTGGCCCAAAGACCAGGCCTCATGGCCCTTCTCTGGTTGTGTCTCCCATGCTAGAAGAGCACCTCTTTCTGATGAGGAGTCCACGACAGGTGACTGCCAGCGCTTTGGATCTCAGGAGTTTTGTGTCAGCAGCAGTTTTTCCAAGGTAAGGGGCCATGTGGCGCCACATGTCACCCGGCAAAGGGCGGAGCTGATGTGCCCAGTCTGCCATCCCAAGAAGGGGGGCAGGCAGGAACGGGGTATTTCCCAGAAGTTGCTGTATGTGAGACAGAAATTGGGCGAGTCGCAAAGCGGGCCCGCCGCCGCCCGCCCCGGGCCTCGGGATGCGTGCCCCGCTGCAGAGAGCTAGCTGAGACGGGCACGCTGCTCTGTCGTTGCAGGTGGAGCTCACGGCAGTTGGAAGCGGCAGCAATGCCCGGGGGGCAGACCCAGATGGCAGGACAGCAGAAAAACTTGGGCACAAGTCAGAAGACAAGCCTGACGACCCCCAGCCACAAATGGACTATGCTGGGAATGTGGCTGAGGCCGAGGGCCTGCTGGTGCCGCTGAGCGGCGCCGGGGACGGCCTCGCGCTTCCTGCGGCTGACGGCGCTGCCGAGGCCGGCGACAGCACGGCCGACTGCTCCTGGGCTCCCCTCAGCACCCAAATGAGCAAGCAGGTGGACTGCTCAGCAGCGGGGGTAAAGGCTCTGGACTCTCGGCATGGCGTGGGGGAGAAGAATACTTTCATTCTGGCCACTCTGGGAACTGGAGTCCCTGTGGAGGGAACCCTGCCTCTGGTGACCACTAACTTTAGTCCACTGCCAGCGCCCATCTGCCCCCCTGCTCCCAGTTCGGCTGCCGTCCCCCCGTCTGTTCCGGATCCGTTCCAGGTTCCCCTCTCCGTCCCCACCCCGGTGCCCCACTCTGGGCTAGTTCCCGTCCAGGTTGCCACTTCAGTTCCGGCCCCTTCCCCTCCCTTAGCCCCGGTCCCGGCTCTGGCCCCGGCACCGCCGTCGGTGCCCACACTCATCTCTGATTCGAACCCCCTTTCAGTTTCGGCCTCAGTCCTGGTGCCCGTGCCAGCTTCGGCTGCCCCCTCGGGGCCCGTTCCCCTGTCGGCTCCGGCCCCTCCCCCCCTCTCAGTCCCAGTATCAGCTCCTCCCTTGGCTCTGATCCAGGCTCCCGTGCCCCCTTCAGCTCCAACCCTGGTCCTCGCGCCTGTCCCCACACCAGTTCTGGCTCCCATGCCGGCGTCCACGCCTCCAGCGGCTCCCAACCCTCCGTCAGTGCCGATGCCCACCCCGACTCCGTCCTCCGGCCCGCCCTCCACCCCCACCCTCATCCCCGCCTTTGCTCCTACGCCCGTGCCCGCTCCCACCCCAGCCCCGATCTTTACTCCAGCCCCCACGCCCATGCCGGCGGCCGCACCAGCTGCCATTCCCACTTCTGCGCCCATGCCAGCCTCTTTCAGTCTGAGTCGAGTATGTTTTCCTGCAGCTCAGGCACCAGCTATGCAAAAAGTTCCCCTGTCCTTTCAGCCAGGGACAGTACTGACCCCAAGCCAGCCGCTGGTATATATCCCACCTCCGAGCTGTGGGCAGCCGCTCAGTGTGGCCACACTGCCAACCACCTTGGGGGTCTCCTCCACTCTTACACTGCCTGTCCTGCCTTCCTACCTTCAGGACAGGTGTCTCCCTGGTGTGCTGGCCTCCCCAGAGCTCCGGTCTTACCCATACGCGTTTTCTGTGGCCCGGCCTCTGACTTCAGATTCCAAGCTGGTCTCTCTGGAGGTGAACAGGCTTCCCTGTGCGTCCCCATCCGGCAGCACCAGCACCCAGCCTGCGCCCGATGGGGTCCCTGGGCCTTTGGCAGATACTTCCCTCTCTACTGCTTCTGCCAAGGTGCTTCCAACCCCACAGCCTTTGCTGCCAGCCCCCAGCGTGAGCTCGGCCCCAACGCACCCTGCCAAGGTGCCAGGTGGCGGTGAGCAGCAAGCAGAAGGGACTTCCGTCACCTTCTCTCCCCTCAAGTCACCTCCACAGCTGGAGCGAGAGATGGCCTCTCCACCTGAGTGCAGCGAGATGCCCCTCGACCTCTCCTCCAAGTCCAACCGCCAGAAGCTTCCATTGCCGAACCAACGCAAGACGCCCCCCATGCCCGTGTTGACCCCCGTGCACACCAGCAGCAAGGCCCTCCTCTCCACGGTCTTGTCAAGGTCTCAGCGCACAACCCAGGCTGCTGGTAGCAATGTCACCTCATGCCTGGGCTCCACTTCCTCGCCCTTCGTCATCTTTCCCGAGATCGTGAGGAATGGAGACCCGAGCACCTGGGTGAAGAACTCGACTGCGCTGATCAGCACCATTCCTGGCACCTATGTGGGAGTGGCCAACCCGGTGCCTGCCTCCCTGCTGCTGAACAAAGACCCTAACCTGGGCATCAACCGAGACCCCCGCCATCTCCCCAAGCAGGAGCCCATCTCCATCATCGATCAAGGAGAGCCTAAGAGCTCCGGTGCCCCCTGTGGCAAGAAGGGCAGCCAGGCTGCGACTGAGGGACAGCCAAGCACAGTCAAACGTTACACCCCAGCCCGCATCGCCCCTGGGCTGCCGGGGTGCCAAACCAAGGAGCTCTCTCTCTGGAAGCCCACGGGGCCAGCAAATATTTACCCACGGTGTTCAGTCAATGGGAAACCCACCAGCACCCAGGTCCTGCCTGTTGGCTGGTCACCATACCACCAAGCGTCTCTGCTTTCCATTGGCATTTCCAGTGCCGGGCAGCTGACCCCCAGTCAGGGGGTGCCCGTAAGGCCCACCAGTGTTGTTTCTGAGTTTTCTGGTGTGCCGTCTCTTGGCCCCAGTGAAGCTGTGCACGGACCTCCCGAGGGGCAGCCGCGGCCTGGGGGCCCCTTTGCTCCAGAGCAGGGCACTGGCACAAAGAACAAAACTTGCCGGATTGCTGCCAAGCCTTACGAAGAACAAGTCAACCCCGTCCTCCTGACTCTCAGCCCTCAGACGGGGACCTTGGCGCTGTCTGTCCAGCCTAGCAGTGGGGACATAAAAGTGAATCAGGGGCCTGAGGAATCAGAGAGCCACCTCTGCCCCGACAGCACTCCGAAGATAGAAGGTCCCCAGGGGGCTTGTGGCCTGAAGCTGGCAGGAGACACGAAGCCTAAAAACCAAGTGCTGGCCACCTACATGTCCCATGAGCTAGTCCTGGCCACCCCCCAGAACCTGCACAAGATGCCCGAGCTGCCTTTGCTACCTCATGACAACCGCCCCAAGGAACTCATCTTGGATGTGGTCCCGAGCAGCAAGAGGGGCTCCAGCACAGAGCTTTCACAGCTTGGAAGCCAGGTGGACCTGGGACGGGTTAAAATGGAGAAGGTGGATGGTGACGTGGTCTTCAACTTAGCCACCTGCTTCCGGGCCGATGGCCTCCCAGCAGCTCCCCAGAGGGGCCAAGCTGAAGTTCGGAATAAGGCCGGGCAGGCCCGAGTGAAACAGGAAAGCGTAGGTGTCTTTGCTTGCAAGAACAAGTGGCAGCCAGACTCGGTGGTGACCGATGGGGTGACCGAATCTCTGCCGCCCAAGAAGATGAAGTACGGCAAAGAGAAGGATGGTGAGGAGCAGCAACCACAAGCCAAGGTCACAGCTCGGAGTTCCCACGGACCCAAGGTGAGTGCGGGGCTGAGGTCGAGGGCAGGGCCCGCACACCGGAGGTCTGCTTTATCCTGCAGATGTCAGCCTCCCACGGCGGTGTTCTTGAGTAGCTCTGTGAACTGAACTCCTTGGAAGGCTTGTGTAAAGTGAATAATGACCTGCTGTCCCCTTTCTAAGTCCCATTGTCCATATATGGTGTTTTAGCACGAAGAGGGGCCGGCTCGTATTTTGTAGGATGTGGGAAATGATTTGGTCCCTGAGGCCAGGGAAGCCATTGTCCCAGATGAGGTTGGAAAGCGGAAGAAGGGATTGACGAGGGAAATCAATTAATAACAGGCCCTTCCCCACATAACCATTCTTCCTTTTCCTTTTCTGAGATGACTGCTGGCCTTGAGAACTTGGGATTCTCAACGGGGTTGTTCTCTGCACCACTGGGGGAGCCTGCTCAGGATATGCTTGGAGTTTTGTGGGGCCGAAGCCAATTTGGCTTCTGGGCTCATCCGCCAGTTTCCTATCCGCCCAAGGGCTTGGGGTGGCAGCTTTGTGTGTAGGCCCACTGGGAATTTGGTGTGCAAGGCAGGTGGGCATCTGGGTCTGGGTTCTTAACAGTGGCCGCGATCTAGGCAAAAAGGTGGGCCAAGAGGATTTGACTTGAATCCAGTGGTGTTCCAGAGGGGATCCAGAAGCCGCTGGTGATCCAAGGAGATTCTTGAAGCAGTTGAAGATAGGTCTTCTCAAAAATGTGGAGCAATTTAGGGGCACCTGATGGGCTCAGTCAGAAGAACATGTGACTCTTGATCTCGGGGTTGTGAGTTCGAGCCCTGCTTTGGATGTAGAGATTACTTAAGTAAATAAAAAACTTTTAAAAAATAGGGAGCGGGACGCCTGGGTGGCTCAGTCAGTTAAGTGGCTGCCTTCGGCTCAGGTCATGGTCCCGGGGTCCTGGGATCGAGTCCCAAATCGGGCTCCTTGCTCAGTGGGAAGCCTGCTTCTCCCTCTGCCTCTGCCTCTCCCCCTGCTTGTGCTCTGTCTCTCTCTCTCTCTGACAAATAAATAAAATCTTTAAAAAAAAAATAGGGAGCAATTTGAAGTTATGTTAAGCCTTCAAATTGAATGTTTTTTTAAAGATTGTATTTATTTAGGGGCGCCTGGGTGGCTCAGTCGGTCAGGAGTCTGCCTTCTACTCAGCTCATGATCCCAGGGTCCTGGGATCGAGCCCAGCATTGAGCTCCCTGCTTGGTGGGGAGCCTGCTTCTCCCTCTCCCCGCGCCCCGCTTGTGCTCTCTCTCTCTCTCTCAGTCAAATAAATAAATAAAATCTTTTTAAAAATTTAGAAATAGATTGTATTTATTTATTTGAGAGAGAGGGGGGTGGGGGAGAGCAAGGAAGGAGAAGCAGACTCCCTGCCGAGCAGAGAGCCCAACGTGGAGCTTGATCCCAGGACTCCGAGATCATGACCTGAGCTGAAGACAGATGCTTAACTGACTGAACCACCCAGCCGCCCCACTTTTTTTCTGGCTGCTGGTTGCCATGTTTTATTTTTTTTATAAAGTTTTATTAGAATGCAGCCATGCTCTTTTTTTTTTTTTAAGATTTTTCATTTTCGGGCACCTGGGTGGCTCAGTCGTTAGGCGTCTGCCTTCGGCTCAGGTCATGATCCCAGAATCCTGGGATCGAGCCCCGCTTTGGGCTCCCTGCTCCACAGGAAGCCTGCTTCTCCCACTCCCTCGCCCCCTGCTTGTATTCCTTCTCTCGCTGTCTCTCTCTGTCAAAAAATAAATAAAATCTTAAAAAAAAAAGATATTTCATTTTCAAATTGAATGTTGATATACACTAATGAACAGATTTCTAGCCAGAGTACAATGAATTTGGGTTTGTGGTGGAAGCTCTTAGTCTTTTTTGGACCATAGAGCATTTTGGGAAACTGTAAGACCCTGTCCACAGAAACATGACCTCAGAATTTTGCCAGTAATTTCAAGGAGTTCATGGGCCCACCCCCTCCACAAAGCCCGCCCTTGGGCTCCAAATGAAGAACCCCAGGGATAGAGTTGGGGTGGGTTTTCTCAATGATCTCACAGCCACCTCTGTATGGCAGAGACATGCCAAGTAAGAACACAGGTCATGACATAGTAGAGCATATATATAGCATTTGCTCAAGTAACTGTGATTTGTCCTTGGTGGTAATAAGAATAATAATTCATGTTGTTACATGTACTGTATGCTATACACACGCAGGCACACACACACACACGTAGCCTATATACTATATGCCAAGTGCTTTCTACAGACGTCGTCTAACTTCATCCTTACAATAACCCTATGAGGTGAATGCTATACCCAATTTACAGATAAGAAGATGAAGGAAACAGACTGAATGGGCAAGTTGCCCAAAGTTACACAGCTACTAAATGGCAGAGCTAGAACTCAGACTCTAGTCGTTGGCTCCAAAGTTCATGTCCATCTTCAGCTGTGCCACCCTGTCTTCTACTCTCCTTATGTATAACTGTTTCACTGGCCATTTGGCAAGTGTTTGTTGAGTAGTTACTACATGCTAGTCCCTCCCAGGCGTGAGCTACATCTTCAGGAGGGCGGTACAGCATTGTGGTGAGGAGGATGCTTTGTGGAGCCAGGCACAGTGCCCGAGTTGAAGTGTTGGTCCTGCTTTTTCCTAACTGTGTGCTATCGGTCAAGTGACTTAGTCTCGCTGGCCCTCAGTTTCCTCATCTGTACAATGAGACTATATTAGTACCTCTTCTGGGCGCCTGGGTGCTCAGTTGGTTAAGCGACTGCCTTCGGCTCAGGTCATGATCTGGAGTTCCGGGATCGAGTCCCGCATCGGGCTCCCTGCTCGACAGGGAGCCTGCTTCTGCCTCTGACCCTCCCCCCTCTCATGTGCTCTCTCTCTCTCATTCTCTCTGTCTCAAATAAATAAATAAAATCTTTAAAAAAAAAATAGTACCTCTTCCATAAGGCTGTGCAAAGATTAAATGAGATGATGTCATGAAGTGTCCAGAATAGGCAAATCGATAGAGACAGAAAGTAGAATCGTGGTTGACTAAGGCTGGAGGAGGTGGGGAAATGGGGATGGGGTTTCCATTTGGGGCAGTGAAAAAGTTCTGGAACTCCATGATGGTTATATGACTCTGCAACTGTACTAAAAGCAATGGAATTATAAACTTAATCAAATGAATTGTATGGCATATCTCAAAAAATAACATGTCAATAAAGCTGTTATTAATAAAAAGTAAATGAGGTGATATATATGAATGCTTAGAACAGTGCCTGGCAGGTAGTAAGTGCTCAGTAAATGTTCGTGGCTGCTGGTTGTTATTGTTAGTATTACTAACAAAATAGACATGCTCCCTGCTCTCATGGAGCTTATGTCTTGCAGGCGACCTGATGACAGGCAGGCTCTGCCCTTTACTCTATTAGATGAACAGTTCACTGGGCCCACTGACAGATGCCAAGGGCAGAGAATAAAGTTACGAGATCAGGGGCCTTGCAGCAGCCCTTCGCAGCTTCCTGTAGTGATTTAGCAAATGTCCATTTTTGGGGGAGAGTAAATAACTTAGATCTTTCTTTTCTTTTCTTCTATTTTTCCAGAGAAAGAAACTGTTGATAAGCAAAGTCAGATCAGGGCTTAATTCAAAACAGCCCCTTTCAGGGTATGGCCAAGAATCAGAATAGTCTCCTGTCCCCTACACCACCTGCCCCAAGGCCTCATGGAATCCTGAAGGGCTGGCTGAATCCTCAGCAAAGAAAGAGTTCTGCTTCATCTGGTGCTGGGTATATTTTACTGTCTTCTCAGCCTTTGGAAAATTCCTTGGAAAACCTTTCAAAACTCTGTTAACCAGAACATTCATCTTACACGGTCTCCCCATCCACCCAACTTTTTGCCTAAGTTGGAGCATGCAAATACATTTTTACTCTCGGTGCTGCCCTTGCAGAACATTTGGACAGAAATCCCTTCTAGATGTTCTGTTTTACTTGTTTTTGACTACCTTAGGAGATAAAAGTTAATGATCTGCACTTGAAAGAGCCAGCTAAAAGTGATACTCAGAAATAAATAGGACATGTTCAGATTTATGTGCATTTAACTTTATTCCCTCTGACTTCAAGTAGTCTTTCTCTGGCCATTCCTGAAGGTGAGATTTTAAGCGACGGTTCGCCATCTTTCTTTCCTCCCCAGTTCTTTCTTTTTCCTAACACTTTGATTTGTAGGAACCAGCAACAGGCAAAGGGGGCAACTGAACTTGAATTTTTAGCTCAGCCCTCTGCTGAGTAAGAAGCAGGAGGAAATCACAGTTTAGTAGGAGTCCTGGGAATTTGGTGGGGAATGGTCACTCCCTATCCCTGGGGAATTGAGACACTTCCCCCCGCCGACACCCCGGAAAATGTTCTGTTGATAAGATATCGGCTATCCCCTTAGCTGGAGCTAGACAGTGATAACCTTCTAGGAGGTGCATGTGGGTCTGCTTAGGGGGAAAACAACTCTTCCTTTCTTCCTAGGGCCTGCTTTCATGTTAAAACGTTTTGCTTATTCTGCACTCCCTGGATGCTAGAATACTAGAAATCCCTACCTTGCCCTATTTCTTGTTTGGTGGCATGGAGAGACCTCAGAGCTTGTGAGCGTATGCAGCTGTGAGGTTGGGAGTGTCCTTGTGCTGTGCAAGCACGGCCGGTGTGCCTGTCCGAGTGGGCGAGTGAGCAGGGCTGAGCAAAAACAGTGGAGGACGTGAGTGGGGAAGGAGAAGAGTGAGAGCTGCTGCAGAGAGAGGCCCAGGTGGGGAGCCAGGAGCCCTAGGTCTCAGTCCCAGCCCTGCCACTTTGTCACCGCAGGCGCAAATGAGCTCATTTGCAGATTTGCCTGGGAAGTGGCAGGCGCCCCCCAGCGCGCGGACGCCCGGGGTCGTGTGTTGCCCTGGACAAAGCATTTAACCTCTAGTCTTGGAGCCTCAGTTTCCTGGTCTTTGCAGTGGGGATGATACTAACTTCTGCTTTCAGGGTTGTCAGGAAGATCAAATAAAATAACAGAGAAGGAAACGTTTTGAGACGTTGAAAGTACTGCAGAGTATCAAGTGGCATTATTAATAATGCCTCGGCCTTTTCCTTGTCTTCCGTAAGTGCGGGCCAGTGTGAGTTGCTCCCGTGTCATGCCTTTCTTCTCGCCTTCGTTGAATCTATTACACACGGAGATAGACCGTTTTTCTTGAGTTGGCCCAGGCTAAGGATTGTTTTCAGTTGTTGGTGTCTGTACCATTTGCACTGAAGGTATTTGACCAGTGTGGTCACCCGACTTGCCGAAGAGGCATTTCTGTTTGCTGCCCGTCTCTATTGCTGTTTGGATGTAGAGAGCATGGGCCTGACTTTGCGCCTTTGAAAATGACTTTGGGTGTTGATGTGGCTTGTGAATGCAGCCTCCGTAGACCTGTAAAAATGATGGCGTGTGGATGTCTGTGGAGATTAGTTAGGGCACAGGGTTCAGGCCCAGAAAGCCCCTGCCCCGGGCCCCCACCTGGGCTCTGAGCTCTGTCCGTGTGTCAGAACGGGGCCCCAGACTTATCATTGGCAAAGCTTTCTTAAGAAGAGAAACTGATCTCAGACTTGACTCTCTCTACCTCTCCACAGTGCCGGAAGCCGCCTAGTGACCCCCAGGAACCCACCAAGAAAAGCCCCAGGGGGGCTTCAGATTCAGGAAAAGAGCACAATGGAGTCAGGGTAAAGCACAAGCACCGGAAGCCAGCAAAGCCGGATTCCCAGTCTCCAGGAAAGCGAGCTGATGGCCACGAGGAAGGTAGGCTCCTCAGTTCCTCGCCCTCTGGGCTGGGCTGTAGAGGGATCCCCGTGGCAGGTCAGTGGCGGGTTGGGGGGTGGGGGTCACTCTGCACTGCCCAGAATAGTGAGACTTCCTCATTATGGAAAGAAGATAAAACTGACACCTCTGAAATCAAAGGCAAGGGAGAATGGGGCTTATTCTGTTCACCCTGGTCACTAGAATAAGGTACGCTCTGAGGGCCAAAGAGGGTGGTTTTCAGACAAACACAAGTCAGTCCTACGACAGAGTAGCCGAGCCATTACCCTGCAATGGGTCTAGGCTCAGAGAAGAAATGGGGTTCATGAGGACTGAGACCAAAACAGCAGGATGGGGTTCATGACACATGTTTTTCTACCTTTGGTATATTCGAAAACTCCCATTATAAAAAGTTAAAAAATTAATACCCAGCTAGCTAGCCGGAAGCGTTTAGGGAAATACTGAACCCTTATTATCGAGAGACACACAGTATGTTTGGAGTCGGGAGGTGTGTACTTGACCTGTGTGCTCTGCCACGCTAGTTCCTTGGTGCCCTCATCAGAGAGAGACACCCACGTGTTCCTGCGTACATAGCCTGTTTTCATGGCTTTGCCTGTCTGACCCGACCTGCCTTTTTCTAGTCTGTTCTTATGCGGCAGTTTTCCTTTCTCCACTACGCCCTGCTCCCATCTTCCTGCCTTGCCCAGTCCTCTACGATCCATTGAGGTTGCCCTCGTCTGGGACCTGCTCCAGCTTAGTTCTAACTTTGTGGAGGTGCGGCAGCCTCACAGTCCTACAGACAGCCAGGCCTTCAACTTGCTGGCGAGCTGGCGAATCGATTCTGTACACAGCCCTTTCTTTGGTGTCAGCAAAAATGACCCAACTCCCAGTTTTCAAAAACCGCTGGGAATTGCTCCTTCTCCAAGAGAGGTACATAGGTGAGAGCAGCCTGAGGAGAGCCGATGAATGCGACGCCGGGAAAGACACAAATCCTCCCTTGATTTTTCCACCCGAGCCTCTCCGGGATGGGGGGGCGGGGTGTGGGGCTTTCAGTCCTTGGACTCCTGATTGTGATATTTCTACCTTCTGCCCTGAAACCACACGTTACTCCAGGTTCCTTGGAGAAGAAAGCAAAGAGCAGTTTCCGTGACTTCATCCCCGTGGTTCTGAGCACGCGGACGCGCAGTCAGTCTGGTGAGTGAGTCTGAAGCCACGGCCCATCTTGGCCCTTCTCTGCAGAGAGAGGTAGAAATCTGGTCGAGCGATTTTGCCATTGGTCCAGGTGGAGAGTTGAGACTTTGACTCACCATGCTAAGATGCCCAGCTCCTTGCAGAGACAAGAGAGCCCAGGGTGGGGAGGGGGAACACAGCCCACAATGTTAGGACTGCTTGCTTCACTTTTCCAAACAGGGCGTTTCCGAGCAGGGATTTGACATCTCTTGTTGGCAGCCAGTGGTGGAAGGAGGAAAGGCCTGTGCCACTCAGGAAAACCGGCCTACTCCAAGCTTTCGCATCTCGTGGTCAGTGGCGCCAGTCTCAAGCACGGACATGCAACCTTTGGACTTACTGCCCTATGTGACAGGCGTCAACAAAATCGGCAGTGGTCACTGAGTTGTCAGGGCCGGTGGAATCGCATTTGGCCCCCTGAATTTGTATTCAGTGTCTGAAGAAAGATAGCTCTTTCTAGCCCCCGCCTTTGCCTGCCAGCCTCCACGTTGGTGTGTAGCACTAGAAGTGGTTGCCCTGCTTCACCTGTATTTCCATGCAGAGTGGCTAGAATGGGGAAGCAGGGCGCAGTGTAAACTCAGCTAGCTGACATTCTATTAACTGGCACCCTCAGCTCACGGAGAGCGCAGTGGTAATTGGGGCTCATAATGACGGCCTGGAGGCCTCGCAAAATCCTGAAGTGTCTTCTGAATCATCAAAGAGTGATTACATTATGCCCAGTCTCATTTTACTGTTAAACACATTGTACTGCATTTGATTCTTTGGAAATTGGTGATCCCTGTGTGATCTCTCTGGTGATTCTGTATTAACCAGAATATTAGATTAACCAGAACACTTCGTTCCTTGCCTGTCTGTATATGGAAATTTTGCTGGATATTTGCTGTCTTTAGACGGTCTGACTGACTTGAAGCTTTGGTTAAGGACTGTTCCTTTTGCTTCAAAACCATTTCTTTCTTCCACTGACCTCGCTTGTGTTTGGGGATTGTCAAGTTAATAGCGAGTCCTTGGGAGAAGGATGGTGGTGTTTCAGAGCAGCTTCTGAAGAAGATCATCAGATCTGCTGTTGTGCTAAGCCGGGCCAATTTAGGGTCGTACTTTTGTGGTTAGCAGAGTTATGAAGGAAGGAGTGGGGATGAAAATGGCCTCTTGGCAAGATGGTGGAGGAGGGCAGGAAAGGTACCATCGTGCCGGGGTGCTGGGGAGAGGGGAGGGAAGTGCCTGTCCAGCGGTGAGGAGCCGCTGCGGTGGGGAGGAGGGGGGTGTGCAGGGAGAGAGCTCCACCTCTGGACTCTTGGCCACTTAATAGGAGGTGGGGTCAACGCGAGGGAAGAGGGCCTGGCGGAGGAGCATTTGGGCGGGACTAACCCAGGCTGTGTCACAGGAAAGGGACTCCTTGCTTCGCTTTTCCTGAGACTCTTCTTTTGTGATGATTCTGCTTGCCCAGGGTGGCTCTGTCAGTGAGACTGGTGGTCACATAGCGAGCAGGGGCGTGGGTGCCCTGCCCATCTGCCCTCCCTCACCTGCTACTGAACCCTGATTTCCCAAAGGGCAGGGACCTGTGGCCTCCTCCTGCTCCTCACATAATGCTTGGCGCCTCATAAGCACTAAGTAAGAGTTTGTGCAATGAGTTAAAGTCACAGCAACGTGGATGAGGAAGGGCGTGTGGCTTGGATACTCGATATTTGTGTGGTATATTGGACTCTGTAAAACGCTTATGGGCGGATTATCTCATTTGAGCCTCAAAACAGTCCTGTGAGGCCAGTAAGGCAGAGAACAGTGTCCCCGTTTTAAAGAGGAGGAAACAAAAGTGAAGGAACTTTCCCAGAGCACACAGCTAATAACTGGCAGAGCCTGAACTTGAACCCAGACCTTCAAGCTCCTAATCCAGGGCACTTGCTTCGACACCATACTCTTTGTCCTTTGAAGAGGTACCTGACCGTCCTCTGTACATCCCATCCACAGGAAGCATCTGTAGCTCCTTTGCTGGTATGGCAGACAGTGACATGGGAAGCCAGGAAGTCTTCCCCACAGAGGAGGAAGAAGATGTGACCCCCACCCCGGCTAAGCGTCGCAAGGTGAGAAAGGCCCAACAGGACACCCAGTATCGCAGCCACCATGCCCAGGACAAGACTCTGCTGAGCCAGGGCCGCCGGCACCTGTGGCGAGCCCGAGAAATGCCCTGGAGGACTGAGGCTGCCCGGCAAATGTGGGACACCAACGAGGAGGAGGAGGAAGAAGATGAGGAGGAGGGCCTGGTGAAGAGGAAGAAGCGGAGACGACAGAAGAGCCGAAAATATCAGACTGGGGAGTACCTGACAGAGCAAGAAGAAGAGCAGCGGCGGAAAGGGAGAGCAGGTAAGGCTGGCTGGGGATTGCTGCCTCAGCGAGCTGCTATCACTCATCCCCAGGCCACAGTGACTTTGGCTTCTGGGGACCCTCGGGCATCCTGGGTGTTCCCGCCTCTGCCTTCTCTTCACCAGCCGAAGGCCTCTGCACCCATAGAAACCTGGTGCTGTGAGCTCCAGCTGCCAGAGGGGGTCACTCAACTCCAAGCCCCAGGCTGTGGCTTGGGGTTCAGATTGAATGAGTTTGGACTGACCTGCAGGGGAGCGGAGGACGTGAAGGCCCGAGCCCTCCAATTTCATATAAGAGTCTGAACCTCTGAGCAAGGCCACAGTGGCATCCTTGGCATGTGACAACTCGATACCAGGGAGTTCTCTGGTTGGCTTGAGGGAGCTGGCTCTTGGGAGGCTGGGTTCTTTCTCCTAGAATCCTGGGTTCAAGAAGAAAGAGGCATTGGCTGCCTTTCCGGGGATGCTTCCAGCCCCTACACTAAAGAGAAGTACCAAGTTTCCTCAACTTAACAGAAGAACTTCAAGTAGAAGCGGGCACAACTATGCTTTCTCCATTAAAGCTGCAAAGGTTCTTAAGAGGCAGAGTGAAGCTTTGAGGTGACCCAAGGTGCCATCAGTTTTGTTGGACCCAAGTTGGAAGAGCAGGCAGACCAAGGAGAAAACCAGGCTTTCTTTGGCTACGTCAGATGCTATAATATATAATCATGGAGGCACAGACTGTCACCAAGGCTAATATCAGTATGTTCTGCTAAGTATTGTTCGGGCCCATTTCTGGGTTTTTTTTTGGGGGGGGGGCATTTCTATAGCAGATTTCTAGATGAGCAAAAAGTATGTCTCTGGGTTCCATAAGAGCAAATCTCTCTCTCACTCTTTCTCTGACCTCTGCCCTTGAAGCAACATTTGATTGTCTCTGATAATGTATTTATCCTGCGCTGCTGGGAAATATCTACAGTCTCCCTATTATTGAAAACAGAATAGCTGCCTTCTGAGGGGGTAATAGATTCTGGGTTTGCTATAACGCAAACAAGGCTAAACCTCACTTCCAGCTCAGTTTAAGTATAGATGTATACGATACCGTCCCTATACTGCAGAGGGTAAGGGAACTAATTTTCATCAACTGTGGGAGAGGGTGGGGATGATTTTCCCTTTTTCCTGCCAGAGCCGTAAGGGATTGGTCAAGAATGAGGCATCAAGCCGTTGGTCTCAGCCACTTGTGTTTGGATGAAGAAGAGCTTTTGTGTCACGCAGTCTTCTTTACTGAGAGCTGGTTCCCTGCAAGCTTGGATGCTTCCTGTGGAACTTACTGGTTTGGAATCAGAAGGACCTTTGAGGTTATCTGGTTCCATTTTCCACCCAAAGCAGAGATCTCTGTAGCACTGTGGACAGGTAGCCTTTACGTAAACACCCCTGGGAGCATGGAGAACAACTGCTTGGCAAGGCGTCCTGTTTGATTTGGGGGCAGCTGCAGCTTTGGAACGTAGGTCATTCTCCCTCCGTGCATATGTCTAAGGGTTTTGAGTCAAGGCTGTTGGCTTTGGGTTATGGTTTGGTTACCTTCCTCCAGATCCTATGGTGACATCTTCATGAAGGGATTGCCTGGCAAACATCTCTCTTCTCAGGAAAGCTCTGATCCTTCCTATTACGGCCTGTCTTTCAGGTTGACATGAGGGAGTCAGGCAAAGGCCAAACTAGACAGGTCACCTTACTTCTGTCTGAGCCTCATGGCCTTTCTGGTTTTTTTAAGGATTTTATTTATTTATTTATTTGAGAGAGAGAGTGAGCATGAGTCAGGGTGGGGGGCGGGGTGGGCAAAGGCAGAGGGAGAGGGAGAAGCAGACTCCCCACTGAGCAGGGAACCCGATGAGGGGCTCCATCCCAGGATGCCAAGATTGTGACCTGAGCCGAAGGCAAATACTTAACCGAATGAGCCACCCAGGCACCCTCATGACCTTTCCTTTTGTCCTGGACTTTGGTATCTCCCTCCTTGACCTGCAGAGGGGATAAGAATTGGCTCTGGGTTTGGAGTGGAAGAGCCACTTCCACTTACCCAGCTACTGCTTCCACTCTGTTTCTTTCTGTGCTACTATGAAGTTCTTGCTCCACTGCAGCTGAATAAGCTCCAGAGCCTGCCCATCCCTGGGTCAACGGGGTAGGGAGCTGCTGCTTTTCCTGTGGCGGTGAATGCTGTAATATGGCGTCCCCATGTTTCCTGAGGTCCTCCCTCACAAGGCACAGTTCTGTTCCTTCCTCTTTCGCCTCAGCCCAGACTTGTTGCATCAAAAGTCCCAGTTTAGAATGTTCTGGTTGGAATTGCCATTAGAAGCCATCTAACACAGCCGTTCTTGGACAGGTGTGAGGACCCACTGGTGGGTTGGGGCTAGTTGGGAGAAAGCGCTGGTATGATAACTGGCTAAGAGCTGTGCGTAACCCAGAGCCAATTCCTCATATTCTAGTGATGGCTCCCGCATCTGGATTTGCCATTGGTAATGTCACATGTGAGAACACATGCCACGGTCAAGGGAGGCCAGCTAAGAATTCTTGGACCTTGCTTAACTCCCTTGGTTCACAAATTGGAGAAACTGAGGCTGCAGTTACTCATTTCCTAGACATACTGATCTTTTGTCATGTGCTCAGTCCTGTGGGGGAAATAAAGAACACATGGGCATGGCCCTCCCTAAAGATCTTGCACTGCAATAATATGATAAGGATGCCTTCCTCTTTATAACACCTTATAAAGGGGCTTTTGTATATGTGACCTCATTTAATTCTCATACCAGTCCTCTGATGTGGAATATACCTTCTCCATTTTACAGACATAGAAACTGAGACTGTGGGAGATTATGTGGGTGATTATGACTTGCCTCAAGCCAATTACATAGCTAGTGGCCAAGCCATGTGACACTAATATTAGTTAAGAGATAAGAGTAAACCTAATCTATCCCCCCTATACCTGAGGTTTAGGACTGACCTGTGGGATGAGGCTATTGGCAATGAAGTTCCCAGCGCCACTCAGGGATCCATCTGAAAAGAGCTGTAAGAATCACAACATACTTTAAAAAAAAAATTTTTTTGTTAATTTATTTTAGATTTGGGGGGCAAGTGGGGGGAGGGAGCAGGAGGGGGAAAGAATCTCAAGCAGACTCCGTGCTAAGCATGGAGCCTGACGCAGGGCTCCATCCCACCACCCCAAGATCATGACCTGAGCTGAAACCAAGAGTCAGCTGTTTGACCAACTGAGCCACCCAGGCGCCCCTTGAATCACAGCCACACTTTTTGAAACTAGAAAGTGCTTTGTCTAGTGAGCTGTGGCTAGAATTAGAGATGTTGCCCAGTGTATCCCAGTGACTTGATTTCCAACCAGGGAAGGCAGCAGGTTTCTGTGACTGTCCATCAGCTAAGTAGGCCCAGGGCACCTTCTGGTTTCAGGGGGTTTCTGTGGCTTTGATCTTGGCATCCTCAGAGAGTGACCAACCAGGCAGTCAGGTGGGTGGGCGGAGGCAATGAAGGAAGACTTCTCCATTTACGCCCCACCCCAGTATACTTCATACTTCGCTTCAGCAGAGCTGCTAAATTTGTTTTCATACTAGAATGGAGAAAGAGACAAAGCCGATGCGGGAAAAGCTGAAAAGAAGGTTCTGATTTGCTCTGGGCTATGGGGAAATCCTTTTAAAATTACCCTCATCTTGGGGACAGCCAGCTGGGCCGCCCCCTGCTGGCAGGGCTGGGGGTTGTCACCGGCTTGGAGCGGAGAGACTTGGATGTTGAAGTACAGTGTCCACTTGAGAAGCGTTTAGTGGCATTGTTGGTACCACACTAGATACTGGTAGCTGATCGTTACACAGCTCGGCACTGAGATTCGACTCCCCAAAGCCTTCTGATTCATCATAGAGGAAAGCATTGCTTTTCTGTGTTCCATTTCCCTGACATCCATTCTTTCCTGTTTCTTGCCTTCAGATTTAAAGGCCCGTAAGCAGAAGACTTCCTCCCAAAGTTCGGAGCACCGCCTCAGGAACAGGAACCTTCTCTTGCCCAACAAAGCCCAGGGGATCTCGGATTCACCAAACGGTTTCCTCCCAAATAACCTGGAGGAGCCAACCTGCCTTGAAAATTCAGAAAAGCCATCAGGAAAACGAAAGTGCAAGACCAAGCACATGGCAAATGTCTCAGAAGAGGCCAAGGTGCGTTGCCAGTGAGGGGAGTTTATGGGAAGGAAGTGGGCTAGGGTGGCAGGCTTTCCACAGGCTCCTTGAACAACAGTCATCTGAGTGAGTGAGTAAGTGGATGAGGAGGACCCAATTAGCTCATATTTATTAAAGTATTTTGAAGTAGTTCCAGAAGAGTTGGGGGTTACATTTGAAGAATGGGACCTAAAGTTATCAGTTAACAATAAGAGTCTGCAAACTCTCAGGTTTGGTTCTTAATGGCTTTTCCTCAACAGCTCTTGGATCTCCTTTGAGTTAGGGAAGAGTTGAAGAATATGGCAGGATGTTAGCCTGAATAGCTTGTTAACATCCAATCAAGAAGCTTTTGTCTGGGCTTAACTCCCTGGAAACCAGTCAGAGAGTTTTCTGAATCAATCAAGGTAGAAAAGAACTTGTAGAAGCAAGGATGTTGATGTCCAGACAAAGGTTGCTTGAGGGTAGGCTGAAGGAGTTAGAGCTGCCCTCCCACTGGCAACTCACCAGTTCCTTTGCTTCTCGGGGAAGCAGAGGAGCAGGTAAGTGGGCACTCACCAGTCAGTAGCCAGGCCAGCATTCTAGAATCCCTGTTCATAATTGACATCTTTTGGGGGGTTCTGATGTTCACATCATTGGTTTCAGGTTCCACATTATACCATTTGCAAAAAATCACATGGTCCTCAGTCCTCAGGTGAGCTTTACATTTGAGAGAAGCGAAGGTCCAGGCCCCAATGTCATTGGCAACCAAAAAAAAAAAGGTCATAGTGGTCTTGTTTGGTGGTTGTGATTTTTCCAGCTCTTTCCAGCTCCAGAGCAGGGATCCCTGAGTGGCACTGGCAAAAGGCGGGAGACCCAGGTGCTCGTCTCCCCCTCCTTTTCCCTTCCCCCTCCTGGAATCTGGTTCCAGCTCAAACAAGGTACTCAAGCCTATTTCCTCATCTTTAAAAATGGAGATGATACTCCATGTCCTTTCCATCTCACAAGGGTGCTTGGGGGAACAAAGGAGGCAACGGATGTAAAAGGCTTTGATCACCGTAAAGTGTTCTTTGAGGTTGGTGTACATTCTTGAGCTTCGGGTCGAGGCAAGGATGGGAGGACAGAGGCCCGGAGTGGCAAGGTAGCATGACCATTCCCTCAGACCCCCGGAGGGGGCGGGGCCAGGGGAATAAAGAAGTCTGGTCTGTGCTGAGGGCTCCGTTCACGTGGTCGTTCTTAATTCCCACAGTGGCTGTTAGAGGTAGGCACTGTAGTTCTTGTTTTATGGTGAGGAAACCGAGGCTCCGGGAGGCTAAGGGACTGGCACGAGGTTACTCGGGGTCACGAGTGACAGAGTCAGGATGGGAAGCAGGCCTCACTGCCTCAGCTCTTCCCGTGTGCCTCCACCCCATCAATGGGTGGCTTCTGTCTGTATCCGGGAGACGCTGGGGGTGGGAGCAGCCAGGCAGGGACACACTGCGACACTGAGAGGCTCTGGTGAAAGGTGGGCGTCCCCCTCCTCTCCCCCCGGCTCCTCCCCAGACACTCAGATGGCCCTGTCCCACACAAAGGTGACTGGCCGCCTGACATTCAGCAACACACGCTGAGAGTTGTGTCTGGTTATTCCGCCTGGCAGTGTGTCTGCAGAAATGTTCCTCCCAGAGAGGTTTTGTCCCTTCACAGGGCCTCCCTTTCTCCCTCCCGCCTTTCTTTCTCTCCCAGTCACCACCACCTGCTCTGGATGCCCCCATGGCACGGTGCTTTGTAGTGGGAAGCGGGGCGGGGGGAGGGCGGGAGACGTGCCTGCGACACTAAAGCTGGGGCATTGGCCAAAGGCTTCTTCCCACAGGGGCTCTGAGCCAGGGAGGAAGAGGGGAGGGGGCCCCCATTTGTTCTTGCTCCTCCCCCTCTCAGGCAACCTCGCCTGTCTCTGGCGGCTCTTGCCCCCGGAAGGAGAGTCACCCTTTGGCTCCTGGCTTGGCTTAGCAAAAACCTAGGCACTTTACCCAGCATCCTCCAGTAGTGCCATTTTCTACCTCTGTCCTCATGGTAGTAGAGCACCACTCTACACTCCTCGGCAGTGCCTTCCTGCTAGTGACTGAACCTCTCTGCCCTTAGGGGATGGGGATGGATAGCAGCTCTGGTTGTCTGGGGATTTACCAGAGGAGACAAATGCCCTGGGCTTCTGGTCTTTTCCCTGCTGCCATCCCTTCCCGGGCTTCATGATTTTCTAGGTAACTTTTCAGTCTGCCCAGGGCTCTGCACAGAGCTGGCTTGAATTAGGTCAACAAATATTTGTTGTGATGATGTGTCCAGCCCTGAGTGAAGTGCTGTAAGAAATAAAAGCGAAGATGACAGTACGAACCCTGCCCCAAAGGAGCCTCAAACCTAACAGGGGAGGCCAGACTTGCCCATGAAATAGTGGAAGGAAGTCAAAAGTCCAGCATCAAGTACCAGGTTATTTGTTTCAGGCTAGGTGCCCTGGATATGTGGAGAAGGAAAGCTAGAGTATTATAGAATGTTACAGAAGACATAGGATTTCCGTGAGACCTTGGTAATACTCTGAGGGATTTGGATAAGTGGTATGTATTAGTTGTCTCTTGTGGTGTAACAGATTACCCTCAAACTTAGCTCAATGCAACAGCAAACATATTATCTCCCACAGCTTCTGGTGGTCAAGGGTTCATGAGCAGCTTAGCTGGGTCTGGCTTGGGGTCTCCCATGAGGTTGCGGTCAAGGTGTCAGCCAGGGCTCCATTAAACCGAAGGACTGACTGGGGCAGGAGGGTCCGTTTCCAGTGGGGCTCCCTCTCATGGCTGGTCATTGGCAGGAGACGCCTCTTTACCTTGCCCTGGGGGCCTCTCCAAAGGACTGCTTGAGTGTCCTCATGACGTGGCAGCTGGTTTCCCCCAGAACAAGTGATCCAAAAGAGAGAAAGGCTGAAGCCACATTGTCTTTCAGGAAGTGGCCTTGGAAGTCAAACACTGTCACCTCTGCACTCTCCTGTTGGCTACACAGGTCAGCCCTGTCCAGTGCACGAGGGGGCTACATGAGAGCACAAATATCAGGAGGGGTCATCAGGGGCCATCTTAGAATCTGATGAGGGCAAAGTCTGCCCTCTGGTCGCCCAATGATTCAGGTCCCTCCCCACACGCAAGGCAGACCTACCTCTCCCAAGGCCCTCCAAAGTCTTGTCCAGTTATGACATCAGCTCCCAGTTTATTTTTATTTTTTTTTATTTTATTTATTAGAGAGAGTGAATGAGTGAGAGCACGAGTGGGGGTTGGGGGAGAGGCAGAGGGAGAAGCAGGTTCCCTGCTGAGCGGGGAGCCAGACTCGGGGCTCCATCCCAGGACTCTGAGATCATGACCTGAGCTGAAGGCAGACGCTTCACCGACTGAGCCACCCAGGTGCCCCCAGCTCCCAGTTTAGAATCTCACCGTCTAACTTAGGTCCAGGTGCAAATGAGGCTCCTTGGGTCTGGTTCCTGGAGCTCAGTTCCTCGAACACAGTTCCTCTAACACTCCCCACATGAAGAGCCCACAAGGGAAAAAGTGAGGCTCAGAGAGGTTGGGCCTTAACCCAGGTCTTGTAGCTAGTGGGTGGCAGAGGCAAGATACCAGACCTACGTCTGTCTGACTCTTGAGCCCGAGTGCTTTCCACCACCCAAGGCGGGCATGAATGTGATCTAGGGCCATGGTGTGGAGGAAGGTGGGAAGACGCTGGGGTAGGTTAGAAGACGGGTTTTTACCACAAGAGTGAAGGCCTTAGCAGCTGTGCCTCTTCAGTCAAAGATAGCTGTCTCCACTTCTCTTTACTCTCAGTTTGCTTTGCTCATTTAGAAACAGGACTTGTCAAAACCTCAGCAAATGGGGATTGAGGCAGGTAAAGAAGGCAAGTGGAGTGCTTGGGGGAAGCTTGGATGTGCCCTCGGTCTCTGATTTCGGATCCCTTGGTCATTCGTTGGTTTATGTGGTTGAGGATTTGAGCCCCTCAGCATCTGCTGTCCGGGTGGGAGCGGATGGGAGCCTGCGCTGATCCAGGACCCCACCCCCCCATCTCTGCTTTCTAGGGCAAAGGTCGTTGGAGCCAGCAGAAGACACGATCTCCCAAATCTCCCACCCCAGTGAAGCCCACGGAACCATGCACACCCTCTAAGTCCCGAAGTGCCGGCCCAGAGGAGGCCTCCGAGTCACCTACAGCCCGGCAGATCCCCCCAGAGGCACGTCGGCTCATAGTGAACAAAAACGCGGGCGAGACCCTCCTGCAGCGGGCGGCACGTCTTGGCTATAAGGTAGGGAGAGCCCCAGCGTCTGTGGAGAAGCTTCTCCCCATTGGCTCTTCTGTGGCCTGGGCTTCAACCCCCCTCCCCCCCGGACTCCTTCTATTGCCCAGATGGTCTCTGGGGCCGCCTAGCCGCTCTCGGGGAGTGTGGGTACGCAAGCTCATTTGAATATCAATTGGGGATGAAAAGAATTGAAATATTGATAACCCAACACATTCCTAGGCCAGAAACGGGGTTTCGATGTTGTCTTGAGCTTCGCTTTGTGGCGGCTCCCTCACTCAGAGAGGAACAGGGGTGATCATCACTCACTTCACACCCTGCAGCTTCCCCTCATTTGAGCTCCCGTGGGGGGAGAGTCAGTGGTGCGTCGGCTCCCTGCCCCGACACTGCTTCCCTAGGGGGTGGAGAGAAAGCAGGAAAGGGAGCTGGCATTTATCGAGCACCACTTTGGTCATGTTAAGAGCTCTGATTACTTCAGGGCGCCTGGGTGGCGCAGTCGGTTAAGCGACTGCCTTCGGCTCAGGTCATGATCCTGGAGTCCCGGGATCGAGTCCCGCATCGGGCTCCCTGCTCAGCAGGGAGTCTGCTTCTCCCTCTGACCCTCCTCCCTCTCATGCTCTCTGTCTCTCATTCTCTCTCTCAAATAAATAAATAAAATCTTAAAAAAAAAAAAATTTTAAAAATAAAAAAAAGAGCTCTGATTACTTCATATGATTTCATCTTCACCACTGACCTGTGGAGGTAGGTTTTATTCGCTCCATTTTACGCATAAGAACATCAAGGCTTAGCAGTGCTAAATGGTGTGTCCAAGACCATTCAACTCTTAACGTATGTATGAGTCTGAATTCCCACCAGGTCTTTTTGATTCCCAAGTGCCAGGGTAGGGTGGAAGCCTGACTCCGTGACCATGATAAAATGTTTTTGGACACTTTCGTTGATACGAACTCCTTGACCATGTATCTTTGCCCACCACACCAATTATTCCTAAGGATTTGTTCTTAAGGGTGGAACTGCTGGGTTTTAGAGTAGGCCTTGATTTAAGGCCTCCGATCCCTATAACTGACTCATTTAAAGACGGTCGCACTCCCAGCCAGGCTGCTCGGCACAGGAGAACTACCTTGGCAGTGGCTCACTGGCGAGCTGCCCATCTTTCTTGAGCGCCTGGTTTGGGGGCCAGGGTAGGTGCCAAGAGAGATCTGAGGGAAAAAAATGACCAACCCCTGCCCTCAAGTGTAATCTTCTTTTACCTGGGGCCAAACCAGCAAGTAGGAGACCGCAGGAGAACCAACCAGGACAGGACAGGAGCAGGTGGGGCAGCCTGTCAGGGGAGGGCGGGAGGAGCAGTCTGAGGCCTGAGGGAAGAGGCCAGCATTGTCTGCATTGGTGAGGAGGGTAGGGGCCTTGCGCTCTCCTGAGTGCAGGGAACGGGATAGTTCCTGTACACCCACGAGACCGCACCCCCCACACCGGCACACATCGCCTGCTGGTTCGCGCACTTTCTCATTTCTCACTCACTTGCTCCAGCCGGCTAGCCTGTGAGCTAGCTGTCAGTCAGGGTGCCTGAGCCACCTGTGTCCCCAGGGCCTGGGAGAGGGCTGGTAATGGGCCCCTGGTACTGCTGCCCACGTCTTCCCCTCAGAAGAGGGGCTGCCTCTCCCCTCCCCCTCAGCTGGTTTACCAGCTTCATCCCAGACCAGCTGGGGTGCTTCTAGTCCTGGAGTCCTGCCTTTGGTCTTGTCGTGTAGCCCAGGGAAGCTAATCATTGCTCTGTGAATGAATGACCACACTGGGTTATGCTCAGAGCAATCCTGATTTGAGGGGAGGGCTAGAACTGACTGCCCTGGGATAAACATCCAGGGACGGTGCTGAAAACAATTAAAACTAGCCTCCAGAGATAGAACTTCAACCAGTTTTTTCTTCCTCACTCTCCAATTACCACCAGAGGCCGTGCTTGCCGCCACATGCCTCGTTGCTCTGGGCTGATGCTGTCTTACAAAGGCCCGGCCTAGGGAACCGGTGCTCAGGGAGTTGAGGCCTGAGAGTTTGAGCTCCAGGTGGGCAGGTGAGCCTCTCTGCAGACCTCGCCCCAACAACCCACACCCAGATGAGTGAGTATCCTTGGTCATAAGATGCGTCTCCCCACTTCCAAGGAACTAGCCCAGAGCTCAGGCCCTGGCCATGGCACCTCAGGGCTGACTTCGTTGACGAAAGATTTTGAGACTTGCCCGTTATTCCCTGGGATAAAGTGCAGGCTCTGAGACTTCCTCTTTGGACATTTGGAGAGCTTCGAGCCTAACTGGGGTGATCTCAAGAATTAGGCCTCTCTTTGCTCATGGAGCTGTCCCTGTCCCTACAGGATGTTGTTCTCTACTGCCTCCAGAAGGACAGTGAAGACGTGAATCACCGCGACAATGCTGGCTACACGGCCCTGCACGAGGCCTGCTCCAGGGGCTGGACTGACATCCTGAACATCCTGCTGGAGCACGGGGCCAACGTGAACTGCAGCGCGCAGGATGGCACGAGGCAAGAAGGCCGCTCCCCAGCCGCCCCCCCCCAGCTCAGCCCCTCACTCCAGAGAACTTGCTGCAGCCTGGACCTTCGCAGCACGCCATGCCTTGTCAGGAAGTGCCTCAGGAAGCCGACTACAGACTGCAGGGGGAAGCGGTTTAGGGCAGGGGTGGACGAGTTCCTGGCCGGCCAGCCCATATCGGTTACTAAGGAGAGGTTGGGGTTATTTAGGGATCATCCTGTCAAATGCAGCTTTACCAGGAACACCACTCAGGCGTCCCTCACATCCTCCCGGTGGTGCATCTGTCTTCGGCAGAGTCTTAGGCTTTAGGAATGGGGAGGCCCACCTTAGGGTCACGTCCCAGATTTGATTCTTGATTTGATGTCTGTACACTTTAAAAAAAAAACACACCTGCTGTGTCTTAAAGAAACTGTACCCATTCGCCTGTATCAGAGGGCCTACTTCCTGGGCCACATTGAGACATGAGCTGCTTACTAAGTAAGGGGACTTGGGTCAGAGGACGCAGACTTTGCTTGGCCGCCACCTAGTGTGTGGAACCACTGTGCTCATCCCTGCTCCAGGGTGGTCATCCAGATCTTTCTGTTCATACCCCCAGCATCTGCTTTAAGTTTATCCTCAGTCAGGGGGGCCCGTTCTCTCCCAAACTCCAGAGCAACCAGTGGGGCTACAGTGCACCTTAGGGACTGTCCCAAAATTTGGGAGAACATAAGAGAGAAATGGGAGGGAGGAGAAAGAGGCAGAGAGAGGAGAAGGAAGTGGGGAGATCTGATGGTGGGTACAGTTCAGAGGTGGTTCCTCTACCCTAACTCTTACCCACATTATTCTGGGCTCATTTTACGTTACCTTCCCCTGAGGAAGTAGCCCGGTGCTAGACACCCAGGTTCCCATCCATTGTCCTCACCCTGTATCACCTCTGCAGGCCAGTTCATGACGCGGTGGTCAACGACAACCTGGAGACCATCTGGCTCCTGCTGTCCTATGGGGCTGACCCGACACTGGCCACCTACTCGGGACAGACAGCCATGAAGCTGGCCAGCAGCGACACCATGAAGCGCTTTCTCAGCGGTAAGCGCAGCCCAGGCTTGAAGCCATCATCCTTGGGGCTGGCCTCTCATTCCTGAACTCCTGAGGAGGTATTCTTCACCTCCCTCCGTCTCAAACAGCTCCCATGAGGGGCGTCAGCCCTCTTTACAGGCTTTTCTTGAAGTGTCTCAGAAATCTCTATGCACTTTAAAAAGCCCAGAGGTCCACTTCCTCTTATTCCTGTGTCATGAGTGTCCATATCGCATGCATCCTCTTCAGGGCCATGGCAGCCCACAGGGACCCATTTCCCAGTGAGGTATGTGGGGTAGGCCTCCTTGGGAGACAGTGGCCCCACTAAAAGATTGAGCTGTGGGCAAAATGTGTTGACCCCTGTTCTGAGTGGGATGTTAGTTACAAAGAAATGACACTTAGCGTTTTGCTTTTGTCTTTGTACTTTTTCCTTGTTGGTGATCAGAGTGGAACCCTTGGGCCCCCTCCTGTTGCTGTATTTCTTTTTTTTTTTTTTTTAAAGATTTATTTATTTTAGAGAGAGCTTGTGCGTGCATGAGCGGGGGGAGGGGCAGAGGGAGAGGGAGGAGCAGGCTCCCCGCGGAGCAGGGAGCCCTATGCGGGGCTCGATCCCAGGACCCTGGGACCATGACCTGAGCTGAAGGCAGACGGTTCGCTGACTGAGCCGCCCAGGCACCCCTGATGCTCTGTGTCTCACAGCCCCTGCCTGTGGTAACTGACGTTCCCTCGGCGCCTCCCTGTCCCTCGTTCTTCTTCCCTCACCTGGCCCCTCGAGAAAAGTGCCTGGTGTTCAGGCCCATGGCAAGAGCCACAAGGCAACATGCATTTATTTTCTCATTAGTGGATAGCCACTGTTTGCCTGCAGTTCGATAGCGCTACCGAGTTGGGCAGCAGGGCAGAGGGAAGGAGGGAAGTCTAGTATGGGCATGCTCACTGGGAATCTGCTCAGACTTGACCGAATGAAGGAACCCCACCTCCTTGAGTGACATCACAGCTCGGCCCTTGCTCTAGCAGTTTCTTCTTCAGACTGCCAGAGCGCTGGGCAGACCTGAAGCAGCTAGCAGTCGTCTCATTGCCCCTCTGTGGAGGCTTCCGTGTTTGTGGTTGAACCCCTCTCAGAGCAGGAGCCCACAGGACCAAGGGTTTGCTCAAGACCACTCACTCTCACCCAGGCTGTGGCCCTCATTAGTCCTAAAGGCCCACCTCCCCGAAGATACAGTTCTGGGTTCCCAGCCAGGGGATCATTTATTTCTTGAACAAAGGTTAACTAGATAGCTGATGATGGAGGGAGAAACAAAGGAACACGAACTAAAGGTCCCCACGGGAGGAGGACTAGGTGGGAAGCACCACCTCGTACTAACAAAAGCTGAAGGGGAAGTGATGGGAGGCCATGGAGGGAGACCTTGACCCCTGCTCAGCCAGCCTCCATCCAGCCCCCAGTCAAGCCAGCTAGATCCTGCAGTCACTGGTCACCGTGTACAGGCCTCAGGCCTCCCTTTGGGACCCAGCCCTTCTGGCTAGGGGCAGGACTGCCTTTTCCCTCCTCGCAGCTCTGGGGTCCCGGGCCCCTGTCCGTGAAGGGCAGCGCAGTTTGGGGATGCTCGTTTCGTCATTTGTCCTGGGCTAGTGATGATTCTTGTTCACTTTGACTGCACTGTCATGGAGGCGCAGGGCTCAGGGCAAGCCACCCTTTGTGGCCTTTTCTCCCATACCATGTGCCACGTGCACTGTCTTACACACACACACACCCTTTGTGGCCTTTTCTCCCATACCATGTGCCACGTGCACTGTCTTACACACACACACACCCTTTGTGGCCTTTTCTCCCATACCATGTGCCACGTGCACTGTCTTACACACCCACACACACACACCTGCCCTCGACTTGATTACCAGGAGAAGCTGGCACAGATGAACACCCAGAACTTCTCAACATGATAAAAACACTGCATGAAGCTCTGTCTCTGATCAACAGGTTTAATCCGGGGGCTTCTCCTGGGGCTAGAAACTGCCCTCCCGAGGGTCTCGGGGCTCTCTGGATCCAAATAAAGCTATCTGACCACCTTAGTAAGCAGACAAACTCTTTTCTTCCCTGACCCCTTCTCCAAAATCCCAAAGGAATCCAAATGTTGAAACCATTTTCAGTAGTTAAAAATTTAGAAACAAACACATTTTTCCCTCTCATTTCCATTAGCTAATCCCAACCACTAGCCAGCCTTTTGATGCCTTCTTAAACTAACCCAAATGCCAGCCCGTGTTGCAGAATCAAGAGACTTTTTTCTTTTCTTTTTTTTAAGATTTTATTTTTAAGTAATCTCTATAACCAACGTGGGGGCTCTAACTCACCACCCTGAGATCAGGAGTCGCATGCTCTACTGACAGAGCCAGCCAAGTGCCCCAAGAGAAGAGTTTTCTTAATTCTGGCCCTTGGTAGCCTGTCCAGGCCAAACACCTTCGTTCAAATCTTAACACTGCTTCTCAGCCTCATAGGCACGGAGCTTCAGCGCCGTAATGGGGGCCAGGAACTGAAGGGAGTGTTGGAACAGGGCCACCTCTTTTCCATGCAAATATCAAGTGCCCATCAAAGGCAGATCTCCGGCCAGCTGTTTGGGACAGTGACGGCAAGCCAGGCTAGGACCTTGGCCCAACACCCTGGGGAGGCAGGCACAGGCAGCAGTCAGAGGCTCCTGGGAGAGGGGACTTGGGCCCAAAGTTTGTTTTGGGGGGATGAGACGATAATACTCAAGCTTTTTTTTTTTAATTGAGGTGAAATTCACCTCATCTAACCATTTGGAAGTGAATGGTTCAGTGGCACTTAGTGTATTCACAATATCGTATGTGAGTCATCAGGAGCTTAATTCCTTGAACCTCGTATTTTTCTCTCTTTTTGAATCCCGGCAGCCTCCCCCCGCCGCCCCCAGCAAATCTCACGGAACCACTGCACAGGGTGGCATAGTGGCTGCAGAAGGCACCCTAGGCTTGGAAGTTTGGGAAGTGTTTCCCCTCACTGCCCCCCTCCCCAGCCCCTAAACCTGGATGCATTTGGGTGGACTTCTGGATTTATTAATTTTTTTTTAAAGATAAATTTATTTATTTATTTGAGAGAGAGAGAGTACATGAGAGGGGGGAGGGTCAGAGGGAGAAGCAGGCTCCC